TTGATGGTTTTACCTTTCAAATACCTATCTCAGGGTCAACTTATTGTTGCTATGGCGAGATGAATCGATTTGATTTGCTTTCATCAAACTATTTTTGTTCTAGATTACGTTGAATAACACTAGAGTACACGCGCGGACTACTATAGTAGACCAGGGTAACATTTTACGCTATAACTTTTTGAAAACTTGCGCCAGAGAGCTGGCATTCCAGGAAAGCCTCGTTAACTAAATTTGTCAGTAAGCCAGTAAAGCTTGGGTTGCTAGAGTCTGCGCACTTTTCTAAAATTGGCCGTTAAAACTGCGGGTCTAGTCAAAAGCCCGAAATCACTCGACAAAAAAATATGAAAGACTTGTAACAAATGGATTTACACCGTGTACCAGGCAGTAGAAAGTCATGAATACTATGACAGATAAAAAACAAATCATATTTTTTCAGTCAATTTTGTTTTGTTAACATTGGTCTCAAAGTGCAATTTTGGTCCAAAATATTTACAACTTTTAAATTTGTTTATAATGTTTGATCCCAAATAGTTATATAAAAAAACTTTGATTATAAAATAACTCTAATAAACACTTTTATCGTTTAAATAGTAATTATATTCATAAATTGCTTATAAACTGATTTACAGTGATTTTAAATTGGCTTACCAGAGTAGGCCGCGCGTGTATTCGTGTAAAAAAAGGGGCGCGTGTACTGCAGTGATAAGCTTTCAATGTTAAAGAATAATAGAACACATTTCCCTGATTCGCAGAAATATCAAAATAAATCCGATTCCTGTCTGAGGCTATCAGATTTCTGATATAAAATGGACAACAAGGAGCAATAATAGAAAAACTTTTTTGCTGTCTACCTGGGTACTTATCGTAACTATTCGTATCTCATCTTCAACGAATATTATAACTATCCAATATACAATTTGAATTTACTACTAGTGCAAAATCTAGCTCGACAGTAGGTACCTAGAACTACTAGCAGGTTTACAAATAACTTGTGTCACAACAATATGATTGAGGTTTTTGTGACTTATACAGGAACTACTGGTCCGATTTGAAAAATATTTTTGTGTTGGATAGCTCATTTATCGAGAAAGGTTTTAGGCTATACAGCATCAGAGCAGTAAAGGAAAATGTCGTAAAAACGGAAAATATTATTGAAACTAATATTTTCCCGCGTGGGTACGAACTACGAAGTCGCGGGCACAGCCAGTAATTAATAAAGATATCAATTGGAAAATATGCGCTAATGTCTAATAACGTTCTCCATTGTTATTTGGAGGATCAAAATTATGTCGATATTTAGTTTATGACCCTCGTGTGTATTCCGTGCACTTGATTTGAGGTCCAATCATGTATTAATTATAGCATATAGTATAGAATCGACTAAATTATCAATAATCTTGAATACTAGGCAATAATTGGAATTCTATTTTGGATAATCTGTTATTATGTTTTGGGTTTTTATGAAAGAAATTTTAATAGAACCCCAGATTAACAATTCTTAGTAACGAATCATCTCCCCTGTTTTTCTTGATATTGCAAGCACCAAGTTTAAAAAATAATTTAATTCTGCTGGAAACAACATCTTTGGAATAACGACTTCCAGGTACATTCACTTAGTTCTTGGTTAAAACTGGGTGCTTACCATAAAACCCCGATCAGACATTTTCTAGTGATGTACAGTAGCAGCAGATTGGTATTGTCGATTATCGATAAGGTTGGCGAGGTCAAAAGTTTGAGACAGATAAGTACCAAACTAGATTTTTTGATAAATTCGCAGAAAGTTTTTGTAAAAACGTTAAAATTTATTAAAAAAAATAGTCGGCTCGTGGTTTAACTTTATATTTTTAATAAGCACATTTTCCGGTTGCTTACACTTCATGCTAATATTTAGTAACCTGTTTGAAGTTTGAGTAGGTGTAGCTTGTCAATACTTTTATATTTAACTGTGATTAAAAAGCTGTATATTGTTTGTTGTTATTTTTGGTAAAAAGAAAAAAAATTACTATTCGTAAGGTCAACTCAACATACTACAAAAGTAAAATTAGTCCACAACTTTATGTCAAATCAAAATCATAAATCAAATAATCTCTCGATAGTCGACTAACACCCACCGGTAATCCCTCGCTCAGAAAATTTATAAGACAAAGCGGACCGAACCATGACTACTTTATTCCTGGGCAGCATCAGCGTTTTCGTTATCCAAGGAGATCCAGCTTGCATTTTATGCGAATACTAACAGCCCTGATCATAATTTCAAATCGCCTGCTTTTGCTTCTCATTTTTGTGAAAAGAATAGATAAAAGTGTTTCTTTATGGGAAATGTTGACAGTATAGGTTTTGAAGACACCTGGACTAAGTGGAACCATTTTCTTATTTTATTTTGTTAAAATCTGTCTGTCATAATTATGTAGAAAGCAAAGTCTATTATTATTATTAATAAATCACGATCAGATATTTCTTTTATCTCTTCTTCGCCTTTAATCTAGCGGCTTTTGCTAATGTTTCAGCTCGTAACGTTTTGTATCGATTTTAGCTTAATAACACAAAGTGAATAAGTAACATTCATATTACTTTTTCACTTTTTTTATTAACAAAAATCCACTATCATTTTTAAGCTGAAAATGCTACAATAGAATTTCCAATAGTGATCAGATTTTTTGCTGGCCCCTTTGATTTCAAGAGCTTTAATATCAACAGTGAAAAACAAAAAGCTATCAACAGCAAAAAAAGAAACGTTAATTCTGTTCTTTGGCCACTTGTTTATATTTCTGACATATACGGCACAAAATGGCAAATCACTTACCACAACCTTTTCGGTATACTCGTAGCAAGCGAGATAATCCACACCACAAAATATCATTGAGGTGTCCGCAGACTTGGTATTTCTGCGCGAACAGCTCTTTCAAATCCAGTGTTGTAAAGTCACAACAATTGAAGCTTCTGTAAAAATCTGTAGGATTTTTGTGTTGCACGGCTAGGTATTTTTGATTTTCAGTGACCTTTCTTTAAATATCCTTATTAGTATTAATTTTCAAGACAATGGCTGAGTAAATGATGCAGAACCGAATATGTACCTACCGATTATGAGTATTTATATTATATGTATCCCAAATTGCGCCTAATTTGTGAGCACCCTCACATTCACGAATATACGTTATCGAGATTTCGCCAATTGAATATTTCCCAAAGCACTCAGAGACGAAATAGCGAAAATACAAACACATTTGGGTGAACATAATAAGGGTAGCATAAATAGAAACCGTTCCGGGAAGACTCGCGACTTGGAGCCCCCTTCGAATAACAGTCACTAAAGTCATAATAATAGGTACTGCTGAATTGACGGAAGTTATTGTGTCACTTTCTAGAATACACACCACTGATTTATTTTAAAGATTCAGACAATAGGCTTGTTTCCTGAAAAAACTTTTAGTCCGTCAATAGCGATGATGACTGGGTAATAAAATCGAAATTCTATTTAGTCCGTCAGACGGATAATTAAAAAATTTGGACACATATATATTTTTTTTCATAATCGAATATATAATTACAGTATTGTATTGAGTTGAAATGTCGCGTGACGTCACTTTTGAGTAAAAAATCTACTCAAACGTGACGTAACGTGCCATTTCAACTCGATGTAGCACTGTTATTATATAATTAAGAAAGAAAACAAAAAATATGACTCTAATATTTTCTAACAGACAAATAATTGGAATTTTGTCATTTAGCCTATTACATTATCAAAAAATATTGGAGACGTATTTTTTTGTTAGTCAATCAAACAATTATGATGCGATGAAGTTCCGCGTAACGTCACAAAGTGCTACACTTCTAAGGAAGCCTTGACGTTACGAGCCTTTTCTTTTGAACTTTAGCGCCGATATCTCTTTCAGTTTTCAATAGTTTCAAAAAGTGAAAAATACGTGTCGAGTATTTTTTGACATGTTAACCGACGGACTAATTCAAACTCTTGTTTTTTTCCCGGGAAACATCCATAAGTGTTTATTTTATTACTCAATATTATTTCAAGGAAGATATATGTGGACCTAGTTATTTTGTGTTTGACCACAACGGCCTAACATACTAAAAGATTGAATATTACCTCAATATGTATTGCAATTGATGCAATGGTACTTTTCCTCCTTATCTAAGGCCACATAAATTATGCGATTCTTCAAATTGGGTAGCAAAAAAGCTTGATAGGATATTAATTTCCAACCTCCCGAAATTGGACTTCAAAGCAAATAAAATGTTCTTTTTTACCCAGAATAAGATCACTTTCCTACCTCTATAGAACCTATAGAGGTAAGCCTGTTTCTATTCGGATTAAAATGAGTCGGAAAGGAACAAAAGTGAGGCAATTGAATAACTCTCTTTTTGACCGCTTCCCAGTCTTTATAGGTACATTCGAATTTAGCGTAATACGATTTCACTTGATTCTGGCCGGCCTAATGGAAAAATTCACTTTATTATATCGCGTTTTCCGCGTCCTATTCAATGAATGAAGCATTTGATTCGGTGTTCATTTCTATATGTCACAGCAATATATGAATATTCGCAAATTGAGCTTGTTTAGCTTTTGCAATTTGGACATTTATGCCAATAACACTTTAATTTATAAATTAATGACAGTGTTAGCCTTTTGTAACAGCCTTGCTAATTGAATTGGATTTTCTGTTGCGAACGTGTATGATTGGTTTTATTTAAATACATTCGTATTATTTTGTAAAAAATATTACCCATGATGTTGATAATACCTAAGAGTAGTTGTCCATACGCTTTATGTCACAACATCAGTATAACACAATAGGCGTGTGACATGGGTCAACTGGACAGACGATGTAACGCTTACGCTGATCTATACTAATTTTTTTGGACATAGGTGTTGATTTAAGCCTGAAATGACCAAACTAACATCTGTGACAAAATAAACCATGTTTATTCCTACAGGGTATGGAACCAAAACCTCTGAAGTTACATCATATTCCTTCTCCCACCAGGTGGCGTGGATTCGGGCCGACGACCAGACAATCTTGACCCTGCACACTCGTCTCGTGACGCACAGCTCGCGGTACGCCGTGACAAACGACTCGCCTCGCTCGTGGCAGCTCCACATACGGCCTCTGAAGGTAGAAGACCGAGGCTGCTATATGTGCCAGATCAACACCAGCACCATGAAGAAGCAGATTGGCTGCGTTGATGTTTTAGGTGAGTGTAGATATTTTATATACTTTTTATTGGCCGATAGTTTGGTCGGCTTCTGACTTGTATAAGGAATCGTTCGTTGGTACAAAGGCCTCCCCCAAGGTTTTTCACAATGAACGGTCCTGCGCTGCCCGCATCCAGGCTCTTCCCGCGACTTTTACCAGATCGTCGGTCCACCTAGTAGGAGGCCTGCCCACGCTACGTCGTCCAGCCCGTGGTCGCCACTCGAGAACCTTCCTGCCCCATGATTCTAAAGCGTAATTAAGAAAAAATTGAGGCGACAAAACCCAAAGGTTTAACCATTAGAAATATTCAACCGAAATAAATTGAGAATCTCATCCATTTTAGAATTCAGTTGAAAAATCATTTTTTTTTAAACGTCACCTCTGCTTACATGCACGTTGATGATAGTATTGGTTTTGGACACCTATCCATTTGCCCGACCATAAAATCCGCGGATTTTTTGACAAATCAATTTTGTCACCTGTTGCATGCGGTTAGTCGATTGGTAATTTACTCGTAGGATTTCATAGACTTAGGTGCAGGATTTTACAATAGTGTGGCTTGTGAACAAATGTAATGCATTTGACAAATTCCATTTATATGTAAATGGAATTATAACGGCAATATGTTGCCGCATAGCAAGTCACAACCTTATAGGAATGTAGGTGTTCGCATCTATCAGTAAAAATGCATTGGTTTCACATGTCTTAAAAATTCAGCCTTTATCTCAAAGTTTATCTACCTAAAGACACTTAGGTACCGCGTTACAATAAATTCCCTCGTGAACATTAAGCATCAACTTAACCTTACCGACCGAGGTTCAATGATACTTAATGGTAGACCTTGGAGCACACAGACTATTTATATACCTACCAACACGCAAACAGTATCATTTAATATATCATTTTCTGCGATAAAAGTTCCAAGAACACAACTGGAACCCTCTTGAGAGAAAAAAACACAAATGTATTTATTCAAAGTATTACACGCTTCATGGTCAAACACACAAAGTAAAGTACTTCGGGGCTGTTTTCAGGCTTTCATAACTCTCAATTACAATAGCGTCTGGGAATTGAATGCGTAAAAGCATCAAAGAGAAAAACTACCTAAAACGAATTTGAATAAGAAAGCAGTCCGTAAAGAAAAACCAAATCTGTTGAGGGCGTAGCTTAGAGCATGTACAGACGCCGCATCCACGAATTAAAATAGAAAAACACGGGTCTTAACGAGAAATTTTCACGCTGTGGACCACCAATCTGCTGTGGCCACGGTTGTAGCAACACAGCCGAAACGTCAAGCTGTGAACTCATTTTTATCATAAAAAATTCGCTTTGAGACCCTTTATTTTTATAAAAATGGGTCGCGAATGTTTCAAATCTTACATAATATTATCCTCGAAAATAAAAAATGCAAAAGAATTCCTAAATTCTAAAAAAGGCCAAAGATACCTTTCAATGCAACCTTTTTCAAGTGCCCTGAGGCTCTTAAACGTAGCTTAATAAAAAGACCACGTCCGTAATAAGTAACAATCGCTTGAATAAATAATGGACAATCCCAAACCCCACAAAAAGTTCAATAAGTATGGTGCCCCTTTGCGAAAGCCATTAATTATTTAATTTACTTATTTGAACTTTCCATTGAACGTAACATTTGTCATTTATTGTTCTAAAAAGTAGTACCTCACTCTAAAAGTATTCAAATGAGTTAAGTTTTTACCAAAATCACGTATTATAGCGGTATCTCTCATCCTTATTTGTCTATAGTGGAAGCCTTAAAACAAAATAGAAGGAAATAGGAGGCGTAGTGAACAAAATACCAGCATTCTGCATGTAAATTTAGCTTGCTTTAACTAGTCCCAATTTACTTTGCCTTTTTTTCTGAAGTATAAAAATACTAAAATGCTCTAATATGTACAACTTATAAAGTAGTCACCCGTATTCACAAATATTACTATGAGGTCTTACAGTTCGCCTGGACGCACAAGTTGACATAATTATGAACTAATCACTGAGCTCTGTTCAACGCTGTGCGTTCGATTTGCTGCTTCACTTAAGCAAGCATCGTTTGTGAATATAGGCGAGAGTGTTTTTCCTTGCCTTATTGTTTAAAGAAAAACACGACTAAGTCAGGGGTTAAATTAAAAAAATGCTTTAAAGAGAAGATGAGACTTGTTTATTGGCCCAATTATTACAGTGAAACGCTTCCAGCTATTGCTTGGCATTTTCCTAAAAATATCACTAACATCTACTGCAATGCATTGTCAGAAACCTCTTATTAGTATTAGTTTAATATGAGAAAACTTGTGATATAAAATTACTTGGCTTTAAAATATCGCACCCCCCCTGGAAGAAGTATGCAAGTCCATTTGTGCGATATATTTTTTATTGCACTAAAAAATCGAGAAGGAGGTAATACATATTGTCAATTTTTTTCATAATTTTTCTCTTAAAAATGAAGAAATTATGTAAAATATTGCAACATTAAAATATCTAAATTTCCATAACAATAACGAAGTAAATATATTTGCATTTAATTGTTATAATAAAGTNTCTTTTGATAGTTCAAAAGGATTCGCACTAAATCCCATTATTATGACCATACCCTTTCCGTTCTCAACGGAGTACACCCCTGGTAATATCATGTACTCTTTGTTTTCTTTCATGCAAGTGTCCGTTGAGATGTAAATTGAGCCCGTAACGGGCGACGCAATGGAAACTTTTATCTCTTTCACTCCAGCTACCTCTACATTTTCTAAATTTGTCACTGAAAGTTTCTCCTTACCTATCAGCTGATCTTTATAAAATATCAAGGCCTCATCAGTTTTGTAAGCACGGACTAGTGGCAGCTCGGTTAGTGACTGTCCAACGAGAACATCAGCTGGCAGCATGGTGGCTTCCACTAAGTAAGCATCCACCTGTTCGTCTAGACTATCTAGTGCTATTTGAATCGTGATTCTACCAAGCGGGACGATAGGACGACTCGCAAAACCTTTTAATGTTGGTAAATTACTCTTATCTATGGGTAAATTTAGCCGTGATGCATAATCTTCCCTTATTAATGTGCATTGACTGCCCAAATCAATAAATGATGTCATCTTTTGCCCACACACAGTAATTTGTTTGAAATATTTTTTATTACCGCTTTCAGTATGATTAATATTTAAGACCCGTTTTTCACCTATCAATCCAGAGGGCGTACCACGCGGGCGAGCCGTTCCCGTCTCGGTAGACAATCTTTATCGACATGTCCAAATAACCGGCATTTTTGGCACTTCAGAACCTCCTTAGGGCACTTAGTAACGATATGGCCCGGTTCACCACAATTGAAACAAATTACCGAAGTTCCTTTTCTATTATTAGGGTCTGAAGTCCGCTTCGTTGTTTCGCCTTGATCTCTATACGCAGTGAACGTCTTTCTTGGAACATCGGCTAATTTACTAGAAATATTCCTAAAATACTTTAAGACGCCTTCGGGTTCCTGTATATTTCCTCCCTGAACATTCATCCTGACATTCGGATCAAATATGCCGTGGGTCAAGCAATCTACTGCTTGCTTTCCTTTCAGTTTGCAGCGGTTTATTAACGCAATTTTGTCGAAGTAATATTCTTCGAGCGTCTCATTACGTCTTGTCTTTCGAGCCAACATGTCCGACAGAAGGTCACCGTAATTCTGTTCGCAAGGGAACGCGCTGATTAGTTTGTCCTGCCACTCGGACCATGTAAATTTTACACTTGTGAGCCCATCATACCACCGCTTAGCCAAACCCTTAAGTTTAGGCAAAGCGTAGAATATGATTTGCCTATCTGACCATCCATAAACTTGAGCAGATTCATTGATTTTGGCTAGCCAATCCTTCATAGTTTGTGATTTTGCTTGGGGATCGAAATCGGGTATAACATTCTGAGCACCTTGTAGTCCAGTACCAGAATTCCCGGAATTGTTGCGATCGTGCAACGCATTAACTAATTTTTCCAGTAGGGACGTTTCTGTGGATGTTTCAGATTCACGAGAGCAGTGAGAACGGTGAGTCGATCGGTGACGTGATTCAGGAGACGAAGAATAAGAGTGTCTACGGTGACGCGATGAAGAATATGTTCTTCTACGTTTGGTATGCGTACGCAGCGTTTTATTAGAATCGCTGCTAGAGGATCTGCTACTTCCCTTGGAATGCGAACTGTTTCGGTTACGTTTTGACTTTAAATGTGAGCGCCGTTGGCTAGAGTCTTGATTACGCTGACGCGAAAACGACTGACTGCGACTTTTGTTACGTCTGTGCCGTTTAGTGAACTTAGATTTGGGGGATCTACTTCTCGAAGGTCTCGAGAAGGAAGACTCTCGAGAATGCGATCTGCGTCTTGAAAATCGTACCCGGGATGATTTACCTATACGCGAAGGTTCACCACCCCTGCATGGAAGCAGTGGTGATGGTGATACCCTGGGCGTCTGAGATCTAGGAGAATTTCCAACATGTGTTGGGGTGGTGTCAGGATTCATGTTAGATACTTTAAGGAAAAGGAATATTCAAGGAAAGTGAACAGACAGCTGAAAATTCACAATTGTTTCAATATGATCTATTATGGGAGCCAAAAATGAGAAAAGCATACACACAAAAAAAAATCAAATAAAACATTCCATTCACTCTTAGTAATGATAGCCATAGTAGGAATAGCGGTAAAAACTGTGTTATATTGCAGAAAGAAATATTTCGCAATAAAAAAAAATCAATGTTATGCATATAGAGGTGCATTTTTGTAGCTCCTAATTTTCCTTTGTGTACATTAAATGACGTAATACCAATCATATTAATAAGTACATCCAATTACCAAAAAGGAGAAAATACTCAGACAACATTTTTATGCGATTGACGGTTGTGAATTGTGTTTATGAACTTACTTACATTGCATAATTCAGTATAATTTACTTTATAATATAATATGTATTGAATACCAAGTTCTGTTTAGTGTTTTAGTTGCACTGAATTTTATATTTTATTATTTCCATAAAAGTAGGTACCGCAGGGTTGGAAAAAGAAACCATTTCTTTTAAATTCCATAAAACAAACCGTCTAAAATGCTTCAAACATGTGTTCCTTTTGTTTTTCATGTTTCTTTTTTTACTTAGGTCCGATAGATAGATAAAAATATTTAAAACTAAAGGCAATACCCATAGTCTAATAAACTACTTTATTTCAACGGCCAATGAAGTTCTTTCCTATCCCGATAGGGTTGACTTTACCGGAGGGGATTTTGAAGTTAATAAATTTGAATGTCTTGCTTTTTACTATTTCATATCATTATTAGTTCTATGACTGATAATACCTCATAAAATAACACATATGAATTAAGAACCACCTCCT